TGTTCTTTTTCTAGCCTCATTATTAAAACATATTATTTTAAGGTTTCTTCATAACAGGATTACCATTTTCCATGCTGTCTACCAATTATAAACAGAAGCAATTTTAAAATCAAACTAGAGATCTCTCTGAAATATTCAAGATGTATTACCATCTGGTTTTATATCAGCATTTGGACAGGTCCAAAATCACTATATTATCAAGTAATATCAAGAATAGTTCATATTCCTTTCAAAATACTTCCAAGTCACAAACTTTGTAAGTTCACCTAATTTTTCAAACTATACCAGATACGTGAATGTCAATCATAGTTACATACATAACTGATTTACCATAGACAACTCAAGTAATACTAACCAAAGCTAGTTTTATCATTAGCTCTTTTAGAAACTACTAATTTGAGATTAACACAGCATACCTGATTATCTGGAAGCTTATACAAAGTGAAGGGTAACAGTTTTTATTTGCAATGTACATACTATGTTGAAATATGAAATCCTTCTGACTGAAAAAAGCGTCCTCAAAACTTATACATATCCATAACCCTCATTTCCAAACACAAAAGAGACAACAGCATTTCTTCAGATGTTCAGCTAAAAATCAGCATCTGTGACTAAAGAGAAAATGGCAGGTGAGGAGGTAAAAACAGGCATCCTGAGTGACCCCGGCAGTTGCAGCTCCAAGACACCGCCCTAGCGAGAAAACAGCCATAGGATGATCCAGCTGTCTCAAAAATACTTCAGTTATTTATAAAACAAATGAGACCTAAGACCTAAGCCTGGTATTGAAACTGAGGGTCCTCATAATTTTGACTTGCTTTGTCAAAATTGTTTCTTCTGCACATTTTACAGACCTTAGCCTTTCCCCCTTGATCGTCCCTAACCCGAGACAGCAGAAGACAACAGCCGGGTCAAACCTGGTTACAAGGTTTGAGCCTCTGGCAGCTCCTGAGCTCTAAGGCCTAACGGCCCCCCTCAGCTACCTTTCCATGAAACCAGGCAGAGGGATGCTGGAACTGACACCAGAGCTGTCCTCAAAACCTGAAGAAATGATTTACGATCCTTACCTCACCTTCGACCAATCAGCTCCTAACACAACCCCAAATCCCTCATTCACAGGTTTTGCCCTGTATTACCTATTAGTTACCTGCTATTGGGGACAGGGTGGGATTTTATGTTTAACTTTATTGAGGAACAGTATGTTTTTCCCAGGACCCATCAGCTCCAAGTCAAGTTGTTGTCCTTCAATCTTAGATGTGGAAGGTGCAGCTCAGCTCCAAGTCCAGCTGCTGTTTTCAATCTAGTTGCGGGGGGGCACAGCCCACCATCCCACATGGGAGTTGAACCCGGCAACCTTGTTGTTAAAAGCACGCGTTCTAACCAACTGAGCCATCTGGCTGCCCACTGGCAGCTCAGCGGCAGCTCAGCTCAAGTCGTTTTCTTCAAGCTAGTTGCAGAGGACTTAGCTCACTGGCCCACGTGGGAATTGAACCGGCAACCCTGTTGCTCACAGCTCACGCTCTCACCAACTGAACCACTTGGCCGCCCCAGGGTGGGATCTTTTAGAGCACAAGCTCACCCAAACTTCGACTGACGTCAATGCCAGTAAATTCCTTTCTCCACTGTAAACTCTTGCTCATTCATCTTCTCTTGGCCAGCGCTCGCAGGTGGACAGACTCACATATTGGGGTTCGTAAACAGTATCTAAACAAAACTTTCAATGAAATTTATTCCTAAGAAAATTTTTTGTAAGAAATATTTTCCTGCCACCTAAGAAAAAAAGGTTTTTAAAATATTTCTCAGTTAATTCATTTAACAATCTTGAGTACTGCACGCTCTCCCTGACCCCAGAGACTGCAAACCATCCAGCAGTGGCAAGAAGACATGACAATAGATATGGTCTTTTCTTCACCATGATTATCAGCCCCTGCCAACACACACACACACACACACACACACACACACTCCAAAGACTTCTCTGCCACCTCAAACATCACATATTGTGATTCCATAGCAATTCATTTTAAAAATACTGAGTCAACCTTACCAATTTATTGGCTAGAACAGACTATTCCATTTCATCCCATCTCTCTGTCAACCACCTCCTTGGAGAATAAGACTGGGTCTCCTTCTGACACTAAAAATACATTTGCTATTATATTTCTGAAGCATACAATTTTTCTTTAGATCATAATTTAAACATAATGTCAAAAGTCAGCTTATATTGCTTAATCTGTATTTTCTTTCCATTCAAAACTATGAAAGATAGTGCACAAAAGTGTGTTGACATGTAAATGATGCTCTAGAAAGGATTTTAAATATTTCATATTACAAATACATATAGGAAACTAAAGGGTAAAACCAATAACTTTAACAACACAATCAGAGACCACCCCAAGGGTTTAAAATATGAAATACACATACACACACACACACACAAAATAAAGCTACTTTACATAGTATATAGTTAAAGAAGGAAATATAATTCATCTACATTTTTTGGTTTAACTGAACCAAAACAAGTTGAAAGCAACTTGGGAACAAAATGAATGTAATACAGACAACAATTAAGATCATAATATATGCCAATGCCAACATTTATAGGCAAGAAGTTAGAAGATTTGACTTAAACAGTGTGGACGGAAAAGGAGCCACATTCTAAACCTGACAAGCTCAGGGCAGGCCTGTAGGGCGGGCCTTACAAACTCAGAGACTGAAAGTAACCACATAGAAATTTTTATATTCAGACCATCCTAACTGAAAGACAGTCATGTTGGATGGGTAGTCTTGTCATAGACCTGTAGCTTTCTTGACAAAGGTCCATCCTTACACCTTAGGTGAGCCTACTATCTTTTTGCATTGAAGATATCCTTTGAAATATCAGAGTAATCTCCTTTTCCAGGACCCTCAGGGCACAACCTCCCACCAAAGCAGGAAACCACAGAACCCCTCACTGTTATCTTGTTGCCTACATACCATCAAATGTTAACTATCCTGTATTCACCAATGTAAAAGTATGTGTCTCAGTTTTACTTTTTATCCAATCTCAAAGATTTACCTGCTTTGTTTTCTCCCACTCCCTTTATCTACCACCAATGGATTTCATGTAACCTCCCCGCCCCCCATCATGTGGCCTCTTTGATTCTAATGTATAAAATAAACTGTAAAACTGCCATGCTCTGTAACATTTTCTCAATCTGTTGAGATTTCGCTTCCTGGCAATTGTCTGTCAGTTTGGCTCAAATAAATTCTTACAAGACTTCTTCTTAGGCTGGATGCTCTTTTGTCGACCATACTTGCTACAGTAAAGGGGTGAGGTCATTTTAAAAAGAAAAAGAAAACCTTCTCACAAAGCAACATTCTAATTCCACATGCATCATGCAGCACAGTCTTTTCCTATTAAAGGAAATGGAACAAAATTTTCAAGATAACCCAACAGATCAGATATAACATAGGGAACCAAATTTCCTCATAATCTTTCCCTATTATGAGATTAAGTACACCAAATGTAACATTATTCTCCCAAAGGAAAGACTTAGTCAATAATATTTCTTCACATTCAGATCCCCCATTCAAACACCCACGATAAAGTGACAACAGCTCTATTAGGCACAGGGACACATCTGAGTGACTGTCATTCTGTTTGTAAACCTCCTCCCTTCATTCCATTCCTCTTTCCTTACATATGTAAATTATGGTATCTGATGCGGAGCCAACAACAGCCACCACAACCAAATTATCCTCCAGGGACATCAATCCAGCTTGTTAGTCTTGTTTCAGCATTAAAAAAAAAAAAAGGGGGAGGAGAGAGGAAGGAGCAGCTATTTTCAGGAATTAAAATTTCTCTTGATTAGATTTCTGGCTCACTGGTTAATGTTTACACCCTGAAATGCATTACCCTCTGCTTCTAAATGTTTGGCTTTTTTTTTTTTGCCAGCCAAGATCTGGTACAACGTTTCTAATATAAATTGCTTCAAGTAATACATGCCCAGTATTGCCGGGAGCATTTGGTCAAATTCTAATATGCCCTCTTGGGAGCCAACACCAACTTACAGCAACAGACCTAACTGCAGAATAGAATTTTAAACAACACGCACAGAGCCTTATCTTCCAGCACACAATCCTTTTTTTCTCTTACTCTGAGGGTTGTCATATGAGACACTTTGTGTATGATACTTATCATTTAGAATGTAGATCTTTCTGTTAAGGTAATAAAGTAATCACAAAATTCATTCCTCTTTTTCCCAGCATTAAAATACACACACACACACACACACACACACACACACACACACACACACACACAACATCATGGTTTCTACAAAGGTTGAGCTGAAGCTGAAAGCCATTGTGTAAGCTTGTGAATCACTGCACGATTAATAAGAATAAATTGCACGTGCACATTTCTATAGGCTGCAAACATTAGCAGAGAAAACGCATGTCATAGGGCTTCCTAACCCCAAACAGGATTATCCATATGCAGAAAGTGTTCAATTTTTCATTTCTCGTGATTGTAATTAATGGTTTTGTTTCTGTGGCCACTGAAAACTTGAGAGAGGACCCTCTCATTTTTCTCTCATAAAAACACGTGCCCATGATTTTCTTCCAAACCTGACACAGATATAATCAGGGAAAAAGAGAGGGTGTACTACAATATTGCACTCGTCTCATTGCATTAGGCTCAAAATACGAATCTCAAGAATACATATTTGTCACCTGTCAGCCCAAGCTGAAGGCATCCACCAGGAAAATATTTTCACTATTCCACAGACCCACATGCTGATGAGAGCTAACACTCTCCATTTCTTCATCTTAACCACCGCTTCCCTCTGCAGAAGAAAGAAGCCATTTTACTAATTTATAAGTACCCTCTCTCTCCAACCGTCTTAAAAAATTTCCTCATCAATAATAGTCAACTAAAAGCAAAAGTGCACCCCACAGGCGTCAGAGAATGAAACAGGCAACCCCAGCAAATATCGATCGGCAAGATTCCGGATACTCACTAAAGGCAGCCACCGCCAGAGCCAGTGTCACAATAATGGAGAACCAAGAGACCCACAACGCCTTCTTTCTGTAGTTCTGAGCTTCGTGAGGTTTTAGACGAGTGCTGCTTTCTAGTAAGCCTGACAAAAACAAAAAGAAAAGGAAGTTAGACGTTTCCTTATAAGAAACCCACAGCCAGAGCTACACTTTCTTATCCAAGGGTTGCAAACTGAGAGCCCGTGGGCCACGATGTGTTTTAACACATAGGCGAGTTCACATGGAAACCAGGCTTTCTGGCGTCTCTTGAAAGATCAGAGGCTCTGGCAATATCTGGCATAAATTCCTGCAGGGTAACAGACGTGGTCCTCTTTATAGGGATCCTGCAGACCCCACCACTCCCTGACCTGCCAAATAACCCCAGCCATCCCCCTGTCCCTGCCGTTAACTAGCTTGGCTCACACAGGTGCTGCTCCTATTCTAACAAGGCCCTTTAGTTAGGAAAACAGCACCAATAGCCCACATTTAATCATCCATTCAGGCTCCTCAGCTGTGGACATTGATTTGCATTGATCCACCTGCATAGTCCCAACTGGGAGGCTGGGTTGTGCCTGAAGCAATGAGTCATGGAATACAAATGCCCTCATTGCTACTTCAGTGACAATTGGAGAAGGACCATTTCTCTTTAACCATGAGCACCACCAGCCACCTGACCTAAATTATATGCCATGTTTTCTTCTCTCCTATTTCTGCTCTGTAGTATCTGTCCCTTTGTACCAAGAATGTTAAAAAGTTCTCAGAATATTAAAGTGGGGGTAAAACTGCTAAAACTGGAGTTAGCTTTCCAGACAGGCCATGTGTAAGAAAAGTTTGATTTCATGTCTCCTATGTTTTCAACTTTGAGAGTCCTTGACTAAAACAGAAATTCATGACTCCGAGGCAATGCCCAAGCTTCAACTGCCTTGGGTCGAAGACTAAAACATCTTCAGTATGATCCTGATTTATTGGGTTGTCGAAAAGTCATGACGTTATTTTTTTCTATGTTTTTCATTGCAAAAATGCGTCATTACTTTTCCAACAACCCAATATATATTTTTCTTCTTTGAAAATAGATCATATGTGGCATCTGTTGTTGCACGGAGAAGCAAAGCCTCAGTGAAGCATGCTACATAAAATGAGCTTATGACACCATCTCTGGCTAAACAACCCATCAAATACCTTTCACAGGTGGAGCAGCCTGATCACAACAGCTCCAAATAATGAAGAAATTGGTAGTGAAAGCTTAGACACCGTTTGTAAAATATTGTACAGTGTGTGACATCATACCTATGCATCATGTAAAAGGCATCATCCCATTAGACCGACTGGGCACCTCACCAAGCCTCTGGTTGCCTAAAACTGTGTCCTGTCCAAAAATTATAACAAGGACCCTATTAAAACTTCTCAGTTCCATTTACTACCCAGACTCAAGCACCCTGAACAAGTCCTGAGCAAAGCAAGAGGAAATATCGAGAAGGTTGCTTAGTGAGTCCAGTTTACAGCTCAGAGGTTTTTAAATAATTGAAACCTGTAGACTTACATAGGATCAAAAGATATAAACAGCATCTCTATCACCTCGTTGTAAAAATCTCCCCAAATCTTCCTTAATAAATGGATGGAAAACAGAAAAACCTCTCTTGTCAAATTCTACTCTAGGTACAAAGGATTTCAAATTAAAATCCCTTTGTCTACTTCTTTCTGTCCCTTTGTCTCCATCTTCCCTAGCTGCAGAAAAACACCCCATTCTAATTTTAAAATACAATCACCCTTGTGTCCTATTAAAGCCACAACCTAGAATGAGCAGGTCCCACACATTCCTAATAATGTATTTCCCTTTTCCCTAATGATATAAAAATCGTCCTTTCATCTCGGCCTATTGATTTTCAGGAGAAGTGAAGCTGTAACATTTAAGTAATGACTCAAATAAGCAGTTCATTTGCTAGGTGTTTTGACAGCAACAATCTTGAGAGAGGTTTATCCACTGGGGGTAAAAACAGGCTCCTTTCAGAAGTAGATTTAATTTTCTAAGAGAAACGCAATGATCTGCGTTTTCTATTCTGCCACATGGCATTTTTCCTTCCAAAGTCAGCCATTTCCAACACTATGACTGGACCACACAAACCAGTCTACACACCTCACCCTCAGTGGGCCAGCACTCCCTTGGGAGAATTTGGAATGACAGCCCATATGGGCTGAACTGCCCTGCTGAGGTGGCACTTGGGTCCTCTCAACACAATAGGATGGGTGGTTCTTCCCCAGATCTGATCCTTTGTGTGCCTCCCCATGAGATTTTTTTAAATTAAAAAAACTAGAGTAAATGCAATGGGAAGGCTGTCAAAGAATGGAGAAACTTTCCCATTTTTATTCAACCTTTATTTCTTACTAGTTTTCCTTTCTAAAAATATAGCCAATACCAAGAATGGAACTTTCCATTCCTCAAAGGGAAGTGAGGTACAATTATCAACAAAGACCCAGCTCGTAAATGAATGGTCTGCACACTGGTGCCTTTACCTATGCTCCCATATTGGTGCATGCACACTTGTAAGCCACAGCGATGTGAGAACTTCTGAAGTTTTCAGGAAGCTATACTTCAAAGGTAGAAGAAAGGCAGAACAGTCTAGAGAAACTAAGGCAGGCCCCATGTCTGCACACAGGGCTGGGTCATTCCTACCCACATTCAAATTTCTAATCTCATTCAGATTTCACATACTCGTAATTTGGGTCAGGCAACAATAAGCAAAAGGGTTGTATTAATGATGTACTTAAACCTTATTATTTGAGGGGGGGGGGACACAAATACATACAGGGAGGTTGAGGGCATCTGTCACTTGCATGCTAGCATGAATTAGGTCCGATTGCTATATCCTACAGAGTGAGTCATGATTGGATTCTCTGAAGGATGGGGACTATTCATTAGATGGGAAGGTAGAAGGAAATGCTGAAGCATGGAATACTAGAGGATAGGGTAGGCCCTAAGGCTAGGGGCAGAAAAACGGGGAAACACTTGTGGAGAGAAGAGTAGGTATTAAAAGGGAGAGGGTGGAAATGCCTACAACAAACTTGGCCTATTTTTTGTGTGTTTAGTCCCTAAAGGTCTCGGTCCACAGAGCTCTTGCTTCCTGAACTACAAGGCTCAGCTAAATGGCATTGCAGTCAATGACATGAGCTAGCTAGGTTTTTGGAACAAGTTCACATCACTTCTAAGGAGGAAATACCTCCAAATTCCCAAAACTAGATTATAAAGCAAGATAGGCACAGGCTGCGACAGGGTCACGATAGCTCAGAAGGAAGTTAGGTCTACAGAGAAAGCCAAATATAGGTACACATCCAGGGTACTCGCCCCGCACACACCCTATAGGTACTCAGGCCTAGAAGCAAGCAGGTCAAGCATGATGAAGAGAGGCACTGCAGACAACTGCTGAAGCTTCTTTCTCCCCAAATTCTCTCACCATCAGGAAGAAGGCAGCAGCAGTCGAACCATTCTGGGCGGATTCAAAAATCAATATTGGAAAGATGGGGCCCCATAAGAAAAAACACAAAGTATTATAATAAACCTCCCCAGGTACCCTTCTGATTTATTTAATAAAGATGACTCATTCATCACTAACTCTTTGCTGGCAGGAATAGGTCAAACAAAAGAATGTCACACTGACTTTCAGCGATGCCACCGGCAGTGGGTTCTTTGGGAGACAGGGTTTATCCTAACAGAGGCTCTCTGTGGGATGCAATGCCTTCACACAGTAACAGTTTACGAAACAGTGAATGCTTTTATGCTATAATATAATGGAAAATGAAATTCAGTAGACCAGTTTGGGGGGGGGAACCTTAAGGATGAATTTAGATGGGCTTTTTATACTTGAGCATGAGCTACAAAATGATGCTAAATATGAACTCACCCTAGCAGTTTTTTTCCCTCCTATCAATTTGTGAGGTGGGGAGAAATAGGCCAGCTTTTACAGATGACCTGCAATGCTACAAAAATCAGCTCAGCCCAGAGTTCCATCTTTCTTCAACACCAAATTTGTAAATGTTAAATGTTAGTTGCAGAGGGAAAGGTCATTAACACCACCTATAATAAAACGGATAGGCCTTGTTGGGTGCTTGTGATGTCACCAAGCCAGTTATGTGAGAATAGGAAGAGAAACTGCAACGTAGGTGCAGAACTCGTTGCAACTGGAGCGGCTCCAGTTCTCGCCGAGCTCCCTGCCGATTCTCAGGGAATTGCCGTTTCCATGTCATTCTATTTCACAGGCTACAGTTTAAAATTTATAAGAGGAAAGAGATCGTGCATCCGCACACTAAACCGGAATAAAAATGTACAGGAGATACTAAGAATAGGGCAGAAACCTGCTAAGATTAAAATATAAAAATCCGCCACAGCCAACAAAAAATAAGGCTTCCAAGAAAAGGGGGTGGAGGTGGCAATAAGCCGGCTCCCCCTGATGGGCCTGGCTGCAAGCATCCCGCTTAGGCCACTAACCGGTTTTAACAGAACCAGAGTCTTTCTGAGGGGATCGATTTGGATTCAGCAAGAAGCAGAAAAGGTATAGACGTGGCCAAGAACAGGGCTCCAAGCCTAACGGAAACGAGAGAGGGAGGGAAAGAGGGGTGTAGGAGGAGAAGCGAGACACGGGAATGAACAGAGCATTCTCTCCCGTTTCATGCGGGCAACTCAAAGGGGGCATCGCTGTCGGTCGGAAGGTAAGGTTTAGCCTCCCAGGAAAAGGACTTTTGCAAGGTTCCAGGCCAGTGTCTTGGGAACGATTCTGAAAGGGGTGGAGACGTGCGCTCCGGGAACCACCAGGTTTCAGTGGCATTCATCCAGAGGTTGGTGGCCCAAACCCAAGTGTGCCAATCCTGTGCCCCCATCACCAGACAGCAGGGGAGTGACCCACGGTAAACTGGGTCCCCTGTAAATGAGAGTCGGGGGCTGCCCGAATTCCCTTCGCCGGGGCGGGCAGGCCGGCGGCAGCCGAGGAGCCCCTCGAGACTAAACCCGCAGAGGGAAGTTCTCAGGGGAGCTGGTGGAGGTCCGAGGTCGGGAAAAAGGACGCACGGAGCTCAGGTCCCTCCGAACCGAGCGGGTCCCCCAGTCTCCCCGGAGCGCTCGGCTCGGAAAGCAAAACACCGCCTCCCTCAAACTTTTCCAGTGGGCGCCGGAAGGGTCAGGGGCTGGGGCTGGCCGAGAGGAGGGCACGGGACCCTGACGGCTTCCCCAGGAGGCAGCCGGTTCTCCGGTTCTCCGGTTCCGGGGATAGAGCGGCTGCCGAGGCGGCGCTAGCCGTGGAAGGTGGAGCTGCCGCCCTCCGCTTTCCGCGCCTTAGCTGGGAAGTCCCGGCTTCGCGCCCCGAGCGCCCGGCGTCCGGCCCAACCCCGGGAGTGGAAAGAGGCCGGCTCCTCACCGCACGCAGCCGGCCAGGGGCAGGGGCCGGACCCAGGGGAAGGGCCCCGGTGGCACGCGCTCACCTCGATCCTCCAGCCCGTCGCTGAACTGGCCGCTCTGGCTGATCCGCAGCTGTTGCCCGTCCTCGGGATGCAGCGGTTCCTGTGGCGGGGAGCTCAGCGGACCCGGGGCGGCGGCCAAGGGCGCGTGGCCCCGGGGCGGCGGCGGGACTGCGGGGCCCGGAGGGCTGCGGCGCTCGCTGCCCGCGGCCGGTTCCATGGCGCGGGGCAGCAGATCCCCGCGGCGACGAGGAGCGCAACTGGGACTCGAGTCAGAAGTGCCAGGCGCCGCGGCTCGCAGCGGGCGAAGGGACGGACGGACAGCGCCGAGCGGGGGGGAGGGAGGGCGCGACGGAGTGGAGGTGCGCCGGCTGCTGGGGGGGCGGGGGTGTCGAGGAGCCGCGCTACTCGTGCGGCTGGCGGCCGAGGCTGGGGCCGCGCTGTCGCGGCCGCGCTCCGCCCCCGGGGGCAGGTGCGGGCGGCAGGGACCCGCCCCGAGGCCCCAGCTCCGGAGCCGGAGCAAGGAAATCAGTGTGGAGGGAGGGATCCGGTGGGGTCAGATGCCAGAAGGCTCCGGGGAGCTACTGGGGACGCGGGGCGGCTCGGGCAGCGCTTGGTGAGGGTGAGAGAGGACACCTGCCCCACCCACGCTGCGCGATGGTGCCCAGAGGAGAACCCTCTCGGACCCGATTTCCCCTGCCGTCCGGGAAGCCAGCGGCGGCACTCGAGCAAGAGAGCTGGCAGCGCCCTAATTTGGCATCTTTCTCCTCTGGTGCTGCACAAGCTTTAGGCTGTGCAGAGTCTCCGCCGGAGCTGCCATCCCACCGCGCATCCCGGGAAAACGATGTCACCTGCCCCCAAGTCCATCCGTCCCGGGCCTTTTTCTAGGCGCTTTGATTGTCCTCCCAGTTTTCCTTTCCAGCGCCAACTTCAGGGGACCGGGTACCTTGGGACCACTGGGTGCTCTAGAAGATGTTTGGTCCCCAAGGCTCCCCCACTGCGACTATCCCTGGGCCTTTGTCCCAGCTCGTGGGGCCTTTGTCCCCACGAGCTCGCTGTTTCCCCTCTGGATATTCAAGTCTCGCCGGTTCTTCAGGACTCTGATCGAAGCCTCCCCTGGCTGTCCCGGCGCGGCCCACTGTCCCCACCTCTGACCTCGCGGAACTCGCACCCTTGCGTGGCCTGGCTGGTCTCCGCAGCGAGGCGGCGACCTCGTCCACGCCGGGGCCCACGCCTGCTCTCCACCCTGGTTGTTGGGTTTGGTTTTGTTGTTGTTGTTGTAGAATAACCAGTTTCCTCTTTCATTCTCTCTTTGCCAGCGATTGAAATCGGAGTGTGATTTAAACGCTTTTGTGGTGCAGTGGAAACATCACTAGAAATGGGAGGAGGATTTCATTTTACGTTGTGTTGTTGAGTTGGAACGAGAAAATCTGAGTTGACCTTGGCCAACTCACTTAACCTTTTTGACCACTAATTTAACTACAAACTGAAAGAGATGGACTCAGTCATTTCAAAGGCCCCCTCTTGCTAGGAAAAGGGGGTGGAGGGAGGAAGAAAGAAAAATGCTATGATTACTTGGATAAAAATAAAAATTTAAAAAAAAAATGAAAAATTCTACCTCCCAGCCTTTGTTCCGTCCTCTGAGGTACACAAACCTTCAAATATTTGCAGACACACACACCTTGTTCTCTCACACAGCCTTTTGTCCTTCAGCTTTTGCCATTTGATCCCACTGTCAATGGCTATCAAACATTAGAATCACCTGGGGAGTTTAAGAACAAAAATACCCAGCACTCTCCCACTGCTAGAGATCTCATATCATTCATAGATGATTAAATTGGTCTGATCTGGGACCTGAGATCAGTACGTTTTTCAGCTCCATCGCCTTTCTAAAATCACCTAGAACGCTTTTACTTATTTGTTTAATTATTTAAACGTTGACTCCTCTTTGCTCTTTCAGATTCTAATTTAGTAGATCTGGATATTCTGGAATCTTTATTTGAAACTCACACACATCCCAAGGTCTGTGTTCTCACAAAGGAGCAAGTATCATTGTTCTTTCCTCTGGTTCCTCATTCAGGTTTCTAGTCTAGCGCATCCAGATGCGAATGTGCAGCTAAACACCAGGATTCTTGTTAAAATGCAGATTCTAACTCAGTAGATCCAGGTTAGAGGCCGAGATTTCTAACAAACCTCCAGGTGCTGCTGACTCTGCTGGTCTGAAAACCACACTTTGTGAAGTAAGGATCTAGGAGTTATTTATTATTCATGGGATATATTTTCCTTCCAGTTCCAGCTGCCCTGGTTCAATAAGCCATTCTCGTCTCCTCCAGAAAGATTTCTCTGACTCCAGCTCTCCCTGGGCGCTCCTTTTTGTGAACTATAAATGTTTAATAATTCATGGCCTGTTTCATGTGTGAGGCAGGGATTGTGGTGCTTTGATCTCTATCTTCACTCGCCCACATCTACCTGGATGCCAAGGACACATTGTTCCCCCAAACAATCTCTGCTGATTGACTGGGTGACATTAGCTTACATTTTTGGAGGACATACCAGGTGTGATCAAATAGTACGGTGAATGCTGGTGCTGTGTGCCAGCCAACAGAAAGGCAGAGATCTTCAATACGGGGAAATGGCACGTCGAACCTTAGTAACAATGTATGACAAGTTCCAACTTGTTCAGTGCAGTCAGTCCGGTGTGAGCTACAGTGGAGAGAAGGTATGTTTTAGTGTGCTGTAAGACATCCTCCATCATGACAACACTCCGTGTCACACATCACTTCCAGTATACAGCAATTTCTGTCAAATAAAAACATTACAGTGTGTCCTCATTCACCAGATCTGGCACCGTGCAACTTCTGGCTCTTCCCCACCCAAAGTCAAAATGATTCAGGACACTGAGGCAGCCACGATAGCGCAATTAAAGACACGCACGAAAGAGGACTTCCAGAACTGCTTCAGAATGTGGTAAGAAGGGTGGGATAAGTGTGTTCAAAGCAAGGGGGATTATTTTGAGGGGGATTAATGGCAATGTGTCTTTTACTGTAATAATTTTTAAAAAATATTCATATTTTTTTTATCACACCTCATGTGTGCCAGGCATCTTGCTGAGTGTTTTACATACATTGTCTTCCTCACTCAACTACTATCCTCATCTTACCAAGGAAGAAATCAAGGCAAGTCTCCTGTTAAGCTCTTGTCTGGCACCATGGCCCAAAGTGGTAATACCCCCTAAGGGGACATTTGGCAATTTGCAGGTGCTTTAATTGATGGGGGTGGGGGGGCGCTGGCATTTAGTTGGGGGTAGAGGTGGCCAGGAATGCAAGAGGTCCCCACATGCACAGAACTTTGCAGCACAATGATTGTTTGTGTCCCCCATTGCTTCCATATGTCAGACTGGACAATTGGGGCAGTTAAAATGTGCTTCTAATTACATTAGAACTTTAACTCTGTTTTACATAGAAACACAAACTATTCTTGCACCATTTGAATACACATTGATATCTAATGAACGCAAAAAGAGTCTGAAGGCTTTGCAAGAATGTCAGGCAGTCAGGATAATGGATGCCAAATTATCTGGAAAACAGGTGCCAAGAAGTCTGGTCACATCAGGTGGGCTGGATACATGAGTCCTTCAGTGGGCACATGGAGGTCTGGTGTGTGGCCAGGTATCGACACACAACAAACTGATATACGAGGTCTAATAATTAAGTTCAGGAACTTGTTGCAACAATGCAGTGGAAAGCTCTTAGAACAGTGCCTGGCACATAGTAAGTGCTCAATAGGTGTTAGCTATTTATATTATTATTGTAGTAAGATTTATTCCCATTTGTTTACCAGGAACTTTAATCAAATTTACAGAAAAAAACAAACAAACACCTAACTATAAATTGTTAGTCAGAATGGTTTCATTTGTAAGTGATGACTCAAGTTGGCCTGTATAAAAAAGTCATTGTACCGGCTCCAAGTTGAGCTGTTTTCCAACAGAGCTGGCTCTTCGGGCTTAAAGCAAGTTATCAGGACTTGTCCTCTGTCCTCCCATTACTTGCATCCTTTGTTGGCTTCGTTGGCTTTCCTTTGCTGGCTTTACCTCCTGACAGGTACTCTCAAAACTCTAGGCTAACCTCCTCATATCTGTCCATCCCAGTAGAAAGAGGTCTTCTCATTCCCAAAATGTGCAACAAGGATTTCAGAATGGGTGTCATTGGCCTAACTGACATATAAGCCCATCTCTAAGCCAAACCCTGTGGCCAGGGGGGGTGGGATGCACAGATTGGCCAGACCTGGGTCAGTCCAACCCTGCAAATGGTGGAGGGGAGGGGATGGATGGAGGGCTTAGGACATGGGATCAGCCCAAGCCAAAGCACATCAACTGAGGGTGAGGCAAGGGGATCTCCAAAGAGAAGCCAGAGTGCTATTCCTAGAAGAGGATGAGAGGCTGGCAGCCCAAAACAACAGATGTGTGATGCAATATCACTTCTAGTTCATACGAGGTCGGACAATTAAGTTCAAAAACTTGTTGCAATGATGTTGCTAACCTTTTTTGATATCAGAGGGATTATTCATTATGAATTTGAACCAACTGGATAAACAGTTAACCAAGTTTACTATTTGGAAGTGCTGAAAAGGCTGTGTGAAAAAGTTAGATGAACTGAACTTTTCGCCAACAATTCATGTCTCTTGCATCATGACAATGCACCAGCTCACACAGCACTGTCTGTGAGGGAGTTTTTAGCCAATAAACAAATAACTGTATTAGAACTCCCTCCCTACTCACCTAATCTGGCCCCAATGACTTCTTTCTTTACCTGAAGATAAAGGAGATATTGAAAGGAAGACATTTTGATGACATTCAGGAAAATCAAGGGTAATATGACAGCTCCGATGGCCATTCCAGAAAATGAGTTTCAAAATTGCTTTGAAGGGTGGGTTAGGTGCTGGTGTTGGTGCAAAGCTTCCCAAGTTGAGTACTTCAAAGGTGACCATAGTGATATTCAGCAATGAGGTATGTAGCACTTTTTCTAGGATGAGTTCACGAACTTAACTTTCATTTAAAGTGTTTATTGAAAACTTCTACGTAGACCCACACAGCTCAAATCTGTGTTGTTCAAGAGTCAACTGTACTTCTTTATGACTTTTGATGCAGTTCTGACTGAGCATTTATAGACGCAAATATGTATTAAATATTTTGGTTTTGCTCTGCCACTATAATTATATCATTATACTGATGTTTTAAACTATGTGTATAGGTACAATCTGTGAACTCCATTTCATGATCACAACAATGAATAATACAAAATAATTGTTATAAAAAGGGAACCTTAACTGTCACAGCCCACAGGAGCCTAAGGAGACGTGACAACTACATGTAGTGTATCTTGAGACAGAAAAGGACATTAGGTAAAAATTAAGGACATCTGGGTAAATCATGGACTTTAGTTAATAATGTTTCAATGATAGCTCATTAATTGTAGCAATGTACCATACTAATGTGAAATGTCAAGAATAGGGAAACTGGGGCAGCTGGTCAGCTCAGTTGGTTAGAATGCAGTGCTCATAACATCAAGGTTGCTGGTTTGATTCCCACATGGGCCACTGAGATGCGCCCTCCACAACTAGATTGAAGACAATTACTTGACTTGGAGCTGATGGGTCCTAGAAAACACACTGCTCCCCAATAAAAAACAAAAATAATAATAATAATAATAATAATAATAATAATAATAATAATAAGGAAACTGCATGCAGCATATATGGGAACTCTCTCTACCATCTTCTCAATTTTTTTGCAAATCTAAAACTGTCTTTAAAAAAAGAAGTCAACTTTAAAAAAGAAAAAGGTAAAATAAAGGTGGGGGTATATGGGAAGTCTTGTGTCTGAAACATAGACATCCTAACCTTGACTTCTGAATGCCCACTGCCGGAGCTAGACTATGGAATGACAAAGTCCATGAGGTACTTAGAAACTTTCATATAGTCATCGGGATTGAAACGTTCATGAACAATGAGACAGAATATGACAAGAATTAAACTAATACAGAGGGTGCCAAAAAAAGCATATACATTTTAAGAAAGGAAAAAAACTATCAAAATTGTAATGATATATACCGATAACAAAAGATGAATACAAGTCACGTGCGACTTCTGCAATTACAAGAGGTGCTCAAAGTGGTTACTATCAGCATAATTTTAATAGTTTTCCCTTCCATAAAATGTGTATACATTTTTTCTTGTCACCCTCTGTATTTGTAATTTTAAGCCTATTCCACTGGCTTTTACTGGGACTTTTTAAAGTATATTTAAAGATTTAAGAACTTTTGTGAATTCTCAAATTCTTAAATCATCGGTCTTCTACCAGGACATTTTAGAAAGTCATATTTGGGTAAGAGTTCAGGGATATATAATCTGACTGTTGAAAGATGACAAGAAGTTGAGTGGTGTCTTTTTTTGTTCTTATTTATTCTTTTCTCTATTGTCAGGAAATGTCTCCAGATCCCTAATCCTAGGAATATATGCAGGGAAGAGAAGAAAAGCCAAAAAGCCAAAGGAAACA